TTGAAATCCCGAGAACAATGTTTTGGCATGCTTCAGGGTCTTCAAGGGTGTTTTCCAACGAGGCAGTTCCTTCAATGGAAATGAACCGTTGTAGGGGCCTATGAAGAGGGCGCTTGGAGGGAGGGTGACTTCCAACATCGTTGAGAACTCTTGGGCTTACACTGGTCCTGCTCCTCCTCCTCCTCGTCCTCCTCCTCCTCCTCCCCCTCCCAGAGGCGAGCAGCTCCTCCCCAGAGGGCCGCCCCATGTCCGCGGCCTCGCGGGCTGGGCACCTGGGCCACGACCCCCCATGGACACCGGTGATGCTCTCACGGAGGCCCCGCGCAGAAGGCAATTGCCAATGCGACCGCGCATCCACAGGATCGCGCCCTGGAAGCCAGACCGCGAGAGGGCGTTGACATGGAGACGCTCGCCGCTCGCGAGCGCCCCCGAGAAAAGAAGAGAGCGGCTCCCAGCTCGCGAAGTGGCCCTCGCGCCCAGCGCGCCCCCGGCCGGCCGCGGCCGATCGCCACGGCCGGCTCGCGTGCTGGCGCGACCCGTCGCGCGGTGCGCGCGCGTGGTCTCTCGTGGGAGCCTCGCCACACGCACAGGGGGGGGGGGCAGGGAGGGCGGAAGGCTGCTTGGAAGGCGCGGGCCTTCTCTGCAGATGTAGGGCCGGCGCCTCCCAAGGAGCAGTTTCCTTCTCTAAGAGGCCTCCCCCCCCCCCCCCTGTGCGCGCCGCCAACGGAAGGTCCCGAAATTCCCTGCGGTTTTGGCGAGTTCGTCCAGATGTGGTCGAAGGAAGTAACCCTTAGGACCCCCATTTCTGTGAGACCCCTGCTCTTCGCGGCGATCCCCCGCTTCGGGGTCGAGAATCGACCCCGGAGATGTTCTCGCACGGCGAACCTGTTCCCACGCACCACCACAACGACACGAACGAAACGGTCGCTGAAGGAAGCAGGTTCCGGACCCGGGAGCCCCCCCCCCCAGGATCAGCTCTTGGCCAAAATGGGGAAGAAAGGGTGAAGAGGGGTGGTCGAAAGCTGAACGGAATCCCGTCGAGATCACGTTCACGGCAGGGCCGCGGAGACCCACAAGAGGCTCCCACGAAGGCTCGCCCACGTGCGCGCCGTGCTGGAAGGAGTCTTGGCGTCGCTCGGACGTGGGCATTTTTCCTTCGGCGAGGACCATCGAGGAGCATCCTTGATCATTTGGCGAAAAGGCCACGCGCGAAACCGAACAAAGCACAGGGAATGGACGTCCGAGCGATGGCCAGGAGTCGCCGTCGCCCGTCCGGAGCCAGGGGCCGACGCTGGCGGAGGTCTGCTGGCGCCCTGCGCAAGCCCAGATCTCTCCGACGAGGTGTTTCTTCGCCCGTCGTCGTCGTTGTCGTCTGGGTCGTCGTCGCCGTCGTCGTCTTCGTGCTCGCCGCCGCCGCCGCCGCCGCCCGCCGCCCGCGGTGCGCCGTCCGCCGCCGCCTCCGCCGTCCGCCGTCGGAAACGGCCAGGACGAAGAACAGGTCCCGAGGAAGCGGTCGGGAGCGGTCGGGACCTTCTGAGGGGCCGCGGGCTGGGGAAAGACAACTCAGCGGGCGTCAGGGGAGAAGGGCGGCCCGTGGTGTTCTTGGCGTCGGGCCCCTGGAGGCCGGGTCCCAGACCCCTGAACGAGCGGCCGACAGAGATTTGCACACATGTCAGGCTCGAGAGCTCCGAAGCCCCGAGCACAGAAGGAGCAAGACGTCGGGTGCAACGGGCAAGGCGCTCGTGCGAGCTCTGCTCGAGGTGGCAGTGCGCCCCTCTCATGTCTGACACGGCACCAACCAGACTCCGATAGCACAAACACAGCGGAAGCAGAATTTCGGATGTCCGCGCGTATTCCTTCTGTCGGTGCCGGCGGCGCCTCTGGCGCCGCCGTTGGCGCGCTGGGGGATTGGTGTGGGCAGGGGGTCCAGCGACGAGCCAAGAGGTCCGCCCGGACCTTCGGAAGTTTCTGTTCGAGCAGGCCTGTCTGTCCTCCAAGATTGTCCTGGCCGGCCGGCGAAGACACCATCTTGGCTTTCGTTGTTCAAGAGATTTGCGCCATTCACCCGACCTCCAGACTAGGATATGTGCGGCTTCCGATTTCGCATATGTTATTTGCCACATCCCGTCGCGTTGCTTGCGTGTCGTGGGAGCCTTTGCAGAGCTCCTGGTGGCTTTGGGGGCCCTCTGGGGCATGCAGGGGGTCGTGTGTGCAACCTTGTGAGGGGGGACGCCTGGGGCTCATGCAAGTTTCCCCTCGTGGGCCCCTCCTGGAGACCCCTCGAGGGCTTTTTGTTGGTCGTCTTGGGGGCCGTCTTGGAGCTCTCTTGGGCCGTCTCCAGGCTCGCTTGGGGGGGCTTCTTGGCCCGTCACCGGGCGCTCTGGGGGGCCGCCCGAGCCTGGAGAGGCGAGAACGCAAAATATGCAGACTATCGAAGTCGACCACGGCGAATCACCGTTGCCCCTTGCCTTTTAAGATACGCCTGTGTGGCCAAACGTTTGGGCGACGTCTGGTCACGCTGTTGGACCATGCGTTCCCCCCGCCGTTGTGGCAGCTCTTCGGGGAGAGCGTAGGGAGGGAAGAGGAGGAGGAAGAGAGCGAGGAAGAGGAAGGATGAGAAGATGATGACGCTGCGACACGCTCAGCAAAAATTCCCTCCATACTTCTGGCCCTGGAACCCACAGAAGACGACCCACGGCGCGAAGTCTGTACGGAGCATGGGATCGGGAGCATGCGGGGGCCCCCAGGGGTGGAGGGTTTCTCAAGATCGAGCGGGGTGTTGGAAGCTACGTCGTCAGGGCCAGAGTCTGCCGTCTTTGCGCAGACCGGTTTCCTTGAGTACACCTCTCTCAGGGGGCGCCCGGTGGTCGCATGTCGCATGCCCTAAGATGCAGGCGTCGCCGGGCGTGGGGTGGGGCGGAGAATACGACGGGTGTTTCTGCGGCGCTCTTGGACACCACTCGTGGATCGATCAAACCAGATCCGTGCCGCAGAAAGATGAGGTGGAGAGCCATGGTCGTGCTTTTTTGAAGCGCGGCATTTGTTCCATGACGCGGGACGTCAGGATATGAGAGCGTGCCGGTGGCATGCCATTTGCGCCGTTCCACCGCGTCTTGGGGGGAAGCTTGAGATGTGGTGTCAACTGCAGGGCCGTGGACTTCCGTGATGAGCCCTACATGTGGAACAACACCGACCACGTGAAGAAAGAGATTTGGGATGAGTTCCACAGGGATCACAAGATGAACAAGACGATTCCGTCATCTGAGATCAACACCCGGTGGTCTGTCGCGCATTCCTTTTTGTTTATGTGGCCATTGTCTTCGTGCCGAGAGCAGGCCTGCACAAGTTCGTTCGGCGTCATTGCGTCGTTTGACCGGTCGGGCGCTGTCGATGAGCAGGATGTGGCAGTACATGGAGCATGAGCCAGGGGCAAGCCCCCCTCTTCAGCGTCTCAGCACATTCCAGTATTTTTCCCCAGTGGGGATCACAAGCAACGAAAGAAGTGTAGAAGATAAAAGATAACGATTTTAGATCATGGAGTCTGCTCGTAGCTGCACCACCACTCATTACTATTGCTTGGCCCTTGGCCCCTTACTCTTCGCACAGGCGGCTACCCACGTTCGAGTCGTACATGAACTTCCCAGAAAAGCTTGGCATGACGGACAGTGCCGTCGCATTCGCTGCCGCGCCCATATTTGCCGTGGCGTTGACATTTGGATTCTGTTTGGACGCCACAGGCTTGCAGGAAGGCATCCTCGCATGCATGTCATTGAGCAGTTCAGAACATGCGTTAGATATTATCCACGGTAGATCCTTTGTGTTCCTCTACACAGTATCTAGTACCTCTCTTTCCGAATCCTTGTCTCACGGCGCCGAGAGTAGCGGCAGCGGTGGTTATAGCAGCAGTAGTTGCAGCAGCAGGACCAGGATACGGCGAAGTAGGATCTGGCTGTTTTAGCGACAGGCAAAGGACAAGGTGGAGGAGGAGTGAAGACAGAGGATGGAGGAGAGACGAGGAAGGAGGGCGATTGAGAAAGGGAGCAGGGAGGAGCAGTTCCTGTCGATTCAGCAGGTGGGCACGATAAGTACTCTAGCGCCGCCTGGGGCCCCTCATGGGAGCCGCACGCGTGAGTATGTATTGCTGGCCTGCCCGGCGGCGTAAAAAATACCATTGCCCCTATTACCCACCCCCCTGTAAGGGGGTCTCACCGTGTTGTTGCTGGGGAGGAGAGAGGGAGGATGAGTGGGAGAGGCGGAGAAGGAGGAGGAGGAGGCTGTGGAGAAGGAGGAAGAGGAGAAGGAGTACGCGGGTGGAGGAGGAGGTGGATGAGGATGTGGAGGACGAGGAGGACAACGACGACGACGACGACGACGACGACGACGACGACGACGACAACAGCGAGGACGACGGCGACGACGATGAAGTGATGTGCCACATCTCCAGGATGACGTGCTCCACACCCACGGCTTCCTGTGGTTCGGCACGGCAGCCGGTCAGCACCACATCGACCCTGGGGACAGCCCGCCCGCCACGGGGCTTTCGGCGAACCGCACGCCCTCCCTTACCAGGAGGAGGAGGAGGAGATAGGGGACGGAGGGAGAAGCGAGGGGGGGAGGAGGGAGGAGGGAGCAGGGAGTGAAGAAAAGTGAAGAAAAGCGGGGGGGGGGCAGGAGGAGAAAGAGGAGGCCGAGACTGAGACTGACGAAGTCGAATCCTGCTGGCCACGAGGGGCGCGGAGGGCAGTCGAGGAGAGGCCGGCTCCCGACCGCAGGGCGCAAGAAGCGCGCCGAGAGTCCAGCCCGCTACCAGGAGGGTGGCAGGCGCCCCCAGGAGCACGGCCCCCAGGGGCCAACCGGGGGACCAGGAGAGGGCCGCCCAGGCCTGCAGTCAGAAGCCACCCCTTCCCCGACCTTCCCCCTTCAGACCTCCCCGACGAAGTGCGGCACTCCGCAGAAGCGCGTGAACCGAAGGTTCCGCACGATCTGGCCGAACAGCAGGTTCAGCCGCCCAGCACCGCGGGCTCGACGTCAGCGATGTCGATCCCGAGCTTCGCAAAGTCGACGACCTCGGGCTGGGCGCGGAGCCAACCCAAGAAGTCATCGCGGTGGATGCCCTTCTCCTTGAGTGCGGCCGCGCAGTCCTGGATAGTGCACTTGGCGAGATCCCCGAACGAGTCCATCACCTCGTCAATCCCGACCCTGCCGTCCATGCCCACGCAGCCCTTGCCCTCGATGCCCTCTGAGCCGAAGGCCCCCTCCACCTTCTCCTTCTCTTGCTCGCTGGTGCCGCCCAGCGAGCAAAGCAAACCAGGAGTAGGAGGCCCCACAACCCTGGGTTTGCTGGGCGTGCCTGGGTAGCTGGGCGCCGCTGGAACCTCCTCCACGAAGTGCCCGCCGACGCTCTAGAAACTTCACCATCTTGGGACTGATGATGCCGACCAGCCTGTCCTCCTGCAGCCTCCAGAGGGACAGGCGGGCGTGCCTCTCGTGCTCCGCCTTCTCGAAGGCCTCCAGGTTCTGCTCAGGCACGAGCTGGAAGGAGTCCACAGGGTCCTTGTCACGATGCCAGCACGCCCAGCCATCTGTAGCGTCATCGCCGGCGTCGCTGCAGATGTCGAAGAGGTCCCCAGACGTCAATCCACCAGGCAAGGACGACGGGCGCGCGATCGGCTCCTCCTCCTGCGGTCCCGCTGGTCCATACTGACCTCCTTGTCCTCCCTCTTCGACCGGTCCTTGTTCTCCTTCTCCTTGTTCTCCTTCTTGTTCTGCTTGTTCTTCTGCAGCCTGCTGCACGTGGAGTTCGCGCCGATCCAGCTCGTTGGCATCGGCTTCTCTATCTGCTTCGAGATGGCGGCCTGCGGCTCCGGTTGGCCCGCCAGTGGCCGACTCCGGCTGCGGAGTCGGGCGCGCGGCGTCGGCGGTGCCAATGGGGTCCGTTGACCAGGCGGTGGAGACGGTGGCGTTGCAGGCCCCATCACGCCGTCCTCGATGGCCAGCATCGGTGTGCGTGAAGGTCGCACCGATCCAGTCGCCCTTGTCGATGGTCTCGCCTTTACAGGTGGCGGCCGGGTAGCAGTAGCCCTGCCGTCACCGCCGCTGAGACAGCCGCCACGGTGGCTGCCTCCACGAGGTCCAAGCTCAACGTGGGCTGGTTGAGCTCCCTCGGACTCGTCGCCCACCTCAATGCAGAAGGTGCAGAACTTCTCCATGGGTCGTGCTGGCACCAGTCCTCGCCCTCGGTCTGACGCCATGGCATGTACGTTCAGTAGCTAGGCTCGGGGCGGCTGCGCCCCAGTCAGTACTGCGCCGCCCTCTAATACCCTTCTCGGGCAGAAAGGGGCCGGAGGAGAAAGAGGAGGAGGAGGAGGAGGAGGAGGAAGGAGCGGGGAGAGGAGGAGGAGCACGAGGAGGAGAGGAGAGAGGAAGCAGGAGGAGAAGAGCCGGAGTAAGCCCGGGCTGCGCCAGCGTTGCTGCAGCACGCCCCCACGCCCTGAGGTCCACTCTGCAGAAGTCGCCACGGACGGTCCTCACTGCGGGGAGCGCCCTTGGTGACAGACGAGCGCCCATGGGCTGGGATATGGGCATGCGTCCACTAATCTTTGGACGCCCGAAATGGGTACGGAAAAATGGGTACAATGCCCAAAAACAAACGTTATCCCAAACCAACAGTTGCCGCTGTTGGGCAGGCGGCCTCCTGTTTCAAATGGACACAGGCCGCGGCGACACCGACAGCGAGTCCTGTTCAAAATGAACAGGAACTGCTGTTGGGCATTGTACCCATTTTTTCCGTACCCCTTTCGGGCGTCCAAATAATCGATCTCCTTTTTGGGGACGCGTTTTGGGTAGATTGTGCAGCCCCTTGAGGGCCAGCGCCAGCAT